GTGTGTATGTTTATGTATGTGGACATCTGTGTGTGTCAGTGTGTATGTTTATGTATGTGGACATCTGTGTGTGTCAGTGTGTATGTTTAGATATGTGGACATCTGTGTGTGTCAGTGTGTATGTTTATGTATGTGGACATCTGTGTGTGTCAGTGTGTATGTTTATGTATGTGGACATCTGTGTGTGTCAGTGTGTATGTTTATGTATGTGGACATCTGTGTGTGTCAGTGTGTATGTTTAGATATGTGGACATCTGTGTGTGTCAGTGTGTATGTTTTAGATATGTGGACATCTGTGTGTGCCAGTGTGTATGTTTAGGTATGTGGACATCTGTGTGTGTATGTTTAGATATGTGTACATCTGTGTACATCTGTGCGTGTCAGTGTGTATGTTTAGGTATGTGTGTATGTGTGCATCTGTGTGCCAGTGCGTATGTTTAGGTATGTGGACATCTGTGTGTGTCAGTGTGTATGTGTGCATCTGTGTGCCAGTGTGTATGTTTAGGTATGTGGACATCTGTGTGTATCGGAGTGTCAGTGTGTGAATCTGTGAGTATGTATCTGTGTGTGTACCACAGACAACGTCGTCCACTGCACTCAGGTTCCGCTTTTCACTCTGGTCCACAGCCTCAAAGGTGCTCTGGAATAGATAGACACTGCTAATCCGTCCAACAATACAAGGTAATAGAATATACAGGCAACACACCAGGTACCGAAGGTGTATTTATTCGAGGGTAGAACACCACATAAAAGTGCAACTTTTCAGCCCTAGAGGGACTTAAACATGATTAAGGCCCCCAAGGGCTGAAACGTGTTCTACCCTCCAATAAATACACCTTCAGTACCTGGAGTTATGCCTGTATATTCTATTACCTTGTATCTGTGTATGTGAAGGTATGTGTGTCATTCTGTGTATGTGTAGGGATGTGTGTGTGCGGTTTCGCCAGTGTGCATGTGTAGGTATGTGTGTATCTATGTGCCAGTGTGTGTGTGTGCCTGTGTAGGTATAGGTTTGTATCTGTGGGTGTGCCAGTGTATGTGTCTGTATCTGTTATTGTGTTTCCATATCACTGTGTGTGGCCGCATATGTGTACAGCCTCTATCCCCTAAACAAGAGTCCCCTATTCCTCCGCTGCAGCCTGTTTCACCCCGCTCTAGCCCACTTAAGTGCCCCTCCCGAGATTTGGTTCTGGATCCGCCCCTGGACACAGCAGGGTAATCCCTAAATCCTGGACAGTTTGGGGGTCCTTGAGGACTGGGTTGAGAACCCCTGCGTTAAAGTCTATATATGAGGGATGGGTCAAACAAATCTTTTCCGCATCTAGCAAACCCTATATCAATGACAAGGTGCCCAGCCACTGTTTCAGGGCTCGTGCCTGCAATCTTCCTGTGGATAGAGCAGTCAGCTGGATATGGGATTCATTGATCTCTGTCTTTCACTGTTGAGCTCTTCCTGTCCACCATGTCTATTTGTCTCTATCAATGAATTGATTTCATTACTTGCTGACTTATAGCCTCACTGAGGAAACTCGGCATGGGCAAAGATTAAATTAGAAAGCAGATTAGGACACAAACAGATTTGGGGCTACAAGGCCCCACATACGGGGTTGAAGACCCATCCCCTCCCTCCTCTTTCCCAGGGAATAGAACTGAAAAAATTATGCCAAAATAATAATTGAGTGAAAAGTATACATTTCCATTTTTTTTAGGGGCTAACTTTTCCAAGTCGCTTGTCATCTTACTTTACTTCACTGCTTATATCACCTTACATAAGTAGGGATTGCTCATTGCATTCTGAGTCAGAGCATGGATCAAGTAAAAGAAAACCATTAAAAACTGACTCATGGATGCTACAAAGTATCATTAGATCACCATTAGCTGACCATCAAGAGTAAAATGTATTGTGACCTTTGCAAAAACAGAGAACATTCAGCTTGATGTTTATGGCAGTGATGTGATCAGATTATTTACAAATGGAACTACAATACAAACGATTGTTCATGATTTGTCAATATTTTCCTTAGATCAGATACTGAAGGCCTCTTAAATTCAACAGTATTTACACACACAAAAAAACTACCAGGATGATTGATTACTACAACGTTCTCACTAAAAGGCACTTATAGCTGGTTTGCAAAGCAAGGAGAAAACAAAAGTGAAAACCCACAATGTACGTATTATTATATTAAGTTCTCAAAATTAAAAAAAAAAAATTGTCATTTGTTTTGTGTAATGTGTGTATGTGAATCAGGTTGACCATTATATTTGAAGTATTTTTTAAATAATTGCAGTACACTTTGATGCTTAAGCAAAAAAAGTATTATAACATTTATAATACATCTTGTATTAAAAAACATGCCTCCAAACTTAACGATTAGGTGTTTGCACGTGTTTTTTGCACATGGCTTGTTTGTAGTATGGGGGAGGCTCTTTCTGCAGCTATGTGTGTATACCTACCTGGCTGTGTAGGTGGCATCCCTTGGGTCCAGTGGGGATTGAGCTGGCCATATACATGACAGGGGCTGCTCTCCTTAAGTGTAGATTCCTCTTTACAAGTGTTGGGAAGAAGTGATCGGAGTTAATTGAGGGCAACAGGTCACTATTTACTGCAATCACTATTGATGGACTTTTGGTTGACATTAGCAGATATCTAAAGAAGTCCCACTGGGGTACCTTGAGTGCCATGCAAGACATGCATGCCATAGCTTTTAGACCCCTCTTCTAAATCTTTGGTATGATACTTAGATATTAATTTATTCTGCTAGTAAAATGTGGCTACCCTGGTTATTCTTCACTTTAGTACTTATCTGGTTAAGGTGAAGAACTGCACAGAGAGTAGTCAGAGTGCACTATCGCCAAACTGTACTTTGCTTGACTTATTTGTTATCTTATCTTCTCCCTTCTCCTTTCTCTTTCTACTGTCTGGTTATTTTACTTCTCTATAAAGCATGGCTAGACTAACACTTATGGAGAAAGCAGCACTTTAAGAAGTGATAGGAAGATGTATACTATCAGTCTTTCTCCTTAAACCAGTCTTCACTAATTGCTCAAGCAAATATACATTCAGGGTGGTCCACTAAAGAAAGGTTGGAGAATTTCCCAGCCAGCTCTGTTAGTGTGATTATACTGGGCTAGGTCTTCCCACAGTCATTCAGCCTTTTGCTACTTCAACTGTTTTCTCACCTGTTGTGCATCACACTACTGCTGTTATAGCATACCATCCAACATATCAAATGAACAAAGATGGACACTATTTTGAAGGGTGTAAGTAGGAGTTTGGCCACAGGCGGGGCTGTTCTGAGAAATTTGATGTGACATAATTTATGCAAAGAAAATGTAATTCAGTGCAGGAACAATGTATATTATTTATAGAGACTGATTTCTAAATACATTTATTGTAGTTTAAAGACACATTGCTCAAGATATTATTGCTATCGAGCTCTGTTATACACTCAGACACACCAACAAAATGTAGCTTCTAAAAAAGAGGGACATTAGTATGGAAAAGAGAAATAGATGGATTAGGGCCGAAAATAGGGACGATCCATTTTAAATAGGGTCTTGCCATATCTAATACATCAAAATTGAGCAATTTCACAGTATTGAAATACTGCACAACCAGAGTTTACAATGTCCATCCTCCTGGGCTAAAAGTAAGAATGGTGGTGGGGGTGGGGGGTTATCATTTTTATTGATACTTCCCAACATATTCACACACTGCACCCCTCACAAACACAGGACTGCTCACACGCACACACACTCATTACATCCCCTATACACACTATACCCCCTACACACACACACACACTCTCTATCTGTCACTCTGTCATTCTCTCTGTCACTCTCTACAGCCCTTAGCCACAAATAGTACACCACAAACACAACACCTATTTACACAAAACACCAAAGTACAATCAACTCATTCTACACACACATAATCCCAGGAGCAGTTTGCAAACAAATGCACAATATGCTTTAATGGTCATTCTTTCCTCTGGTATCCCACTTATGGAGACACCAGAGACAAGTCACAAGCAAACACAAGGGAAGCGTTTCATTAAATGTGCTTGTGCTGCGCAGCACAGGGCTTTTTTTTCTCGTGTGAGTGCTCTTCAGCAGGACACATTGAACCAACATGCTCACTTTTAGAAGGCATGCTTGTCATTGGTGATGTCAGAACACCCCCCTGTGTCCCCATCCCCTTCTCATGCTCTGTTCCGCTATGATTGAAAATGCACAGGCCAAGTTTTTTCCCCAGTTAAACATTAGTTTAGGACAGAGCAAAACACTGCGGCCGAAGTTTAGCAGACTAGTAGTAAAATAAAATATATAATGCATTAAAATACAGAACAAACAGATGAATGAATTTAGTGATAAAACATATATGGGAACATTGTATCAAACAGTTGTAAAAAACACACATGTAAAATAGAAATGTTAGAGGAAATCAATGATCTCTTTCATTAGGAATTCATTTATTTTTTAAAGAGATATTTACATACTACATTTTTCTGGGCAGCACTATATATGTACTTCCTGAATACATGCTGCTTAGAAATCATGTCTGACTTGACAACATTAATTAAGGTGCTGGTATTGCCTTCTCGATTACCTAAGATTATCATGCTAGCCCACAATATTGAACATTGCAGCTTAAATGTTTATTCACTAAACAATAGATTGTGGTGAATTGACTTAAAAACAGCAGCCATAATGAATTAAATGTGGTAAAGCACCTTAGAATAATGATTATAAAATGTAACTTTTAGTAAAGACAAGTAAAAATATCCCACAAATGGATATATAAATACGATCTGTATGATCTGGAATGACAGGAATTAAAGAATGGGGTAGAGGGTGAGAGAAATAGATATATAAGACAAAGACTACAACAAACTTCAGCAATAGTGATGTCCCAAACGGTTCGCGAACGGTTCGCCACCAACGGTTCACCGCGGACTCATCATTGAGTAAACTTTGACCCTGTACCTAACAGTCAGCAGACACATTCCAGCCAATCAGCAGCAGACCCTCCCTCCCAGACCCTCCCACCTCCTGGACAGCTCACTAAGAATGCAGCTTCACAATGAATGTAAAATGGATGGTATCCAGGAGGTGGGAGGGTCTGGGAGGGAGGGTCTGCTGCTGATTGACTGGAATGTGTCTGCTGACTGTAAGGTACAGGGTCAAAGTTTACTCAATGATGAGTCCGTGGCGAACCGTTCGTGGCGAACCGTTCACGAACCGTTCGGGACATCACTATTCAGCAATAATAAAATATCTTGTCCTGCGACAAGAAAATACCAAACTGGAACTTGGAGTGAATACTCACTAGTCAAACCAGAGGAAAGAATTCCAAGGCCCGAGAACCAGATTTCTCCAAATGGGTGGGTATTCTATTTATCTTTTATGTTATTCTGTTATGTTGCTAAATGTTATCCAAGGATATTTGGTGGTAAATTAGATATATTGCCATCCACTGTCCAAATGGATAAACAAGCTTTTGGATAGTGTTTCTAAACAATTTATTGCAACTGACTGGACATTTTTTGTACCAATTGTTTCCAACAATATATTTTACTCCACCCATTTGGAGAAATCTGCCGGTACTTAGGTTTGACTAGTGAGTATTCACTCTGAGTACCAGTTTGGTATTTTCTTGTCGCCAGACAAGATATTTTATTATTGCTGAAGTTCGTTGTACTCTTTATGTCTTATATATCTATTTCTCTCAGCCTCTACCCCACTCTTTAATTTCTTGTCACTCCAGAGTGCATACAGATCGTAATTATATATCCATTTGTTGGATATTTTTGCTTCTCTGAGTCTGAGACTACTTCTACCTCTGAGATCACACAAAGGTGATACCTCCTCCTTTTATTATGTTAATATTTATAGAGCGCCGTCAAATTCCGCAGCGCTTTACAATGGGTGGACGAACAAACATGTAGTTGTAACCAGACAAGTTGGACACACAGGAACAGAGGGGTTGAGGGCCCATATGCATTTATATATATTTTTTTTTATGAAAAAAACAGGTTTATAGAGAGCGCAAAAGAATATCAGTAAAATAGTGTATTTTCTAAGCAGGTGCTTCAAATTATGATTATCCACAAGAAAAAGTTAATACAAAGCTGCCAGATACACTAAAAACCTTCCCAAGTTTTAAAACATCATGTGTGACATAAATTGAAATAAAAACAGTATCAGCGCTTAGTTAATATACCCCTATTTTTTGTATATGGGTCAACAACAAAAATATATTGAATAAATTAAATAAAGAATCCCAGTTTCAATCTTCATGGGGTGTTTTCAAATGTCCGCAGGGATTTGATAGTTGTAACAGTAATTGATGTAAAAAGACTTTGTCTTTATATGTATCCAACCTTTAATCAAAAAGATACTAACATAGCGTGATACAGTTACAATACTTTATTTCCCATACGGTAATCCCCCCATAAGAGGAACACTTACAATTAAAAGTGGTGAAACTTATTTCTAAGGTTCACAATAAAAGCGTAGAAATGCAGAATATTGGCTGGTGAATATAAAGTTACCGCTCCGTGGGTACCTGGTATCTTGAGAAAGCTTGTTTGAATGAGCGAAACGCGTAGATCGTGTTTCTGGCGGGATTTTTGAATTTGGAGAGACTGCAGCAAGACTGGTTAGTTGGCGTCTCAGTGAGGATCGATCCGAGTGCACAGGACCGGTCTGGAATTAACACCCACGGAGCGGTAACTTTATCTTCACCAACCAATATTCTGCGTTTCTACGCTTTTATTGTGAACCTTAGAAATAGGTTTCAGCACTTTTAATTGTAAGAGTTCCTCTTATGGGGGGATTACCGTATGGGAAATAAAGTATTGTAACTGTATCACGCTATGTTAGTATATATTTTTTTATATTTTAATATGCTGTAAATGATTTTAAAAGTTTCCATATTACACAGAGCAATAAGGTTAAAGTTAGAAGATAGATCTAAGAGAACTAGCAGTAGGACATGATTTTTAGATTTGTTTGTTAAGACTGCCCGGACCTACTTTTTATTGAATTTGATTCAAATAAATGGAGAATCTTAGAATGTTTAGATTATTTTGTTGCCCTAAATGCTACAATAATATGTAAACTATATTTCAATGTATGCTAAAAAAAATAATATATAAATATGCTAAGAACCAAGCACTGTGGGGTTTACTCACAGATCAGAGAGGCAAGTTAAAAGCCATTAAGGGATTTATATACCAAAATTAACTATTCTTGACATTTTAGAAGTTTTGTACTTCCTATTTAGTGAATAAACCATCATAGTAACAGGTGTTATGCTTTATTACCTGTGTTTATATATAGAAGTAATAACAAGACAAGCTGTAAATCAAGATGACAGGCAAATTAAAATGCATCACTTTGTCAAAACACCTTGTGGACATTGTCTAAACCTACTAAAATATCTGTTGGGCTTAAAAGAATTTGACAATTATTTAGTAGAATTAAATGACTAGAAAAAACCTGGACGTTGAATGAAGCACATTCTTGAATTAGCTATATTTAAAAAATAAAAAAAAGTACAGTCTACAATTTTGGAGCTCTAAAACGTTTACAAAAAAAACTTTCCCAATTACTGTTTTGTTCACGTACTACAACTATACTAATAGTATATAACTATACTTAATTTCATTTATTTTATATTCACCTAAACTTTTAGTTGAACATAAGGTGGAAGCATTTCAAAGCCAGACAAAACTAATGGATTTCAGTAAACTTATGATGCAATTGACATTGCTCATCGTTATAGGAAAACAAGAACCAGATGGAAGGCAAACAAAACCCTGACTTTTGTTTGTCTTTAACTGGAAATTTGCGACACAACGTAGCTATGTACACTCTGTTGACGTCCGTTTACTGTTTCCTGTTGAAAATATTGTAATCTAAAAAATTGACAGTAGCAACAAATACATTTCCTTTTTTGCAATGACAATGTAAATTCTGACTTACAAAGTATAGACTTTTTGAGCAGCTTTTCTGTGTGTGGGACCAAGGGCGTACCTAGGGCATGTGGCACCCGGGGCAGGTCCTGGGTTTGGCACCCTCCTATCCCAACTTCTCCAAAAAAAGGCACCCCCTTACCCCCCTCTACAAAATCCCTGCACCCCCTCACACACAGTTACAGGCAGACAGTCACACACAGTTACAAGCAGTCACACGCACACAGTCACATGCAGACAGTCACACATATAGTCACAGGCAGTCATACACACAGTTACAGGTAGAGAGTTACACACACACATTCAGTTACAAGCAGTTACACACAGTCATGCACACTGTTACAGGCAGACAGTCACATATACAGTCACACACACGGTCACAGGCAGACAGTCATACACATAGTTACAGCCACAAACACACAGTTACAGACAGTTACACACAGTCAGTTACAGGCAGCCACGCACAAAGTTACATGCAGACAGTCACAGGCAGACAGTAACACACAGTTACAGGCAGCATCACACAGTCACAGGCAGACTGTCACACACACACAGTTACAGGTGTGCAGTCACACACACACACACACACACACTTACAGGTAAACAGGTACACACACGTACACACAGTTACAGGCAGACAGTTACACACACACACAGTTACATGCAGACAGTTACACAAACACACACATATTTACAGGCAGACAGTTATACACACACACAGTTACAGACACACACAAGACAGACAGTCACACACACACATACAGACACAGACACACACACAAGACAGTCACACACACACACAGTTACAGACTGACAGTCACACAAATACATACACACACACAGTTACAGACTGACAGTCACACACACACACAGTTGCAGACAGTCACACACACACACACACACACACACACAGTTACAGACAGACAGTCACACACACACATACACACACACACAGTTTCAAGCAGACAGTTACACACACACACACTCTTATACTTACAGACCGTGTGGGCTGGAGGAGTGGATTCCCTGACCTGAAGTCCTTCCCTGGCTGGAGGTGGAGGTGCAGGGATTTCTGCTTGCTGCACCTCCATGTGCAGCAGTTACAGCAGCTTGTAAGGGCCATGTTAAGCCCCACCCACGCTCACGGTTAGGCTCCACCCCTAAGTGACAGTAGCTCCACCCCTTCCTCCCGTGCGGCCAGTTTATCTTGCTGGTCTGCAGAGCTTTCGTGACACTTAGCGCTTAGCACAGCTCACAGCCACCCCAGCCCCAAGACTGTATCAAGGCACCCCCTACCAGGGTGGCACGTTCGGGCGACCGCTTCCCCTTTAGTCCACTGTGTGACGAGCCTGGAGGTCATTTGGCGGTGTTGAAGCAAGGGTAAACCCATCTGGTGGGGAGCAGGCATGCACCTATTTGTGCGTTGCTTTGCATGGCCATATAGAACACCGAAGAACGAGTTGCAGTGATTGTGATGTCAGTTGTAATCTCTTTTTTGTTTGTTTAAACAATTCTCTAACTTGTGTCCCTATGTGTGTAGGATATGTAGTACGAGATAGTGGATGCAATGTGTGCAGGGTATGTAGTACGAGATAGTGGATGCAATGTGTGTAGGGTACGTAATATGGGATAGTGGATGCAATGTGTGCAGGGTATGTAGTACGAGATAGTGGATGCAATGTGTGTAGGGTACGTAGTATGGGATAGTGGATGCAATGTGTGTAGGGTACGTAGTACGAGATAGTGGATGCAATGTGTGTAGGGTACGTAGTACGAGATAGTGGATGCAATGTGTGTAGGGTACGTAGTACGAGATAGTGGATGCAATGTGTGTAGGGTACGTAGTACGAGATAGTGGATGCAATGTGTGTAGGGTACGTAGTACGAGATAGTGAATGCAATGTGTGTAGGGTACGTAGTATGAGATAGTGGATGCAATGTGTGTAGGGTACGTAGTACGAGATAGTGGATGCAATGTGTGTAGGGTACGTAGTACGAGATAGTGGAGGCAATGTGTGTAGGGTATGTAGTACGTGATAGTGAATGCAATGTGTGTAGGGTATGTAGTACGAGATAGGGGATGCAATGTGTGTAGGGAATGTAGTAGGAGATAGGGGATGCAATGTGTGTGTCAGGTTCCCGGCCACCGCGCCACTCTCGGTGACCTTGCTTACCTCATCACAGCG